ATGATTTTTGCAGCTGTGGTTCTGGCTGTGACTGCCAGGGGAGACTTCCAGTATTATTGTTTATTTATTACTCTTGTTCTTTTAACCTGTTTCCATCAAAGGCATCTGCAAGTTGGTGGTTATGGGAAGACAGGTGGTGGATGTTCAGTATATCTTAGTTAGAATAAATAGCTGTTTGACTCTTGTTAAGGATAGTATTGTTTTTAACACTGATGTCAATAACACTTACCTATTTAGGAGTTACCCAAGTCTTTAAACTCTTGATTAGGAATATAAAATCGCCCTTCTTACTAAAGACATTACATTTCTTCAGTTTCTATATTTCAGAAATTCTGTATTACATAGAATTCTTCAAATGGCATATATTCTAACCCTTGTTCAGAACATACGATTACTATTCAATCTCTTCTATCACCAGAATTGACATCTCAGTTCTAAGCTGTTGTTGCCATATACCTGGTCATTTAATTGCTTCTGTATTAGTTTCCCCACTCTCATGTTCTTCTGTTTCATTTTTGCCTATGTACTGTTGCCATATCATTCTGACAGGGGCTCTAGCCACATCATACCTCTGATTTGAAATATCTAAGGGATCCCCATCCCACTTTGGGTTTTGTTTTTTAAGTTGGAGTCTATACCAAGCAAAGAATGCAGTGACACAATTACAGCTCACATAGCCTAGAATTTCTGGACTCAAGCCATCTTCCAGCCTCAGCCTCCTCATTAACTAGGATTATATGGGGGTGTAAACTACCACATTAAAAAAAATGAAAGAGACAGGGGAGACTCATGGTATTCTCCAGGCTGGTCTTGCACTCCCTGACCTCAGAGATCCTCCTGCCTCCTGTCTCCCAATGTGCTGAAATACAGGCCTGAGACACTGTGCCCAGCCCTCCTTTTGCTGCTAAATTAAGTATAAATTTTGTAGCTCAATTTTGGGATCTCCTCTCTACTTTTTAGTATTTTTAATCCATGCTTATTGCCCCTTTCTGCCCTATAGAACAACAAATAAACAACTGGTCTCATTCTGTTTGTTTTGCTTAAATGTTTTCCTTCACCTGGATGTCCTCCGTCATTCTTGCCGTAGTTATTCAGCAACCCTTCCAAAATAACCCTCTTCACTAGAACTTTTCTTATTACCTCAAATGGAATTGACCATCATTCTTTTAAAATATGTAAGTCTGTTCTGCCTTCCTGCTATTTAATAAGTTTATATTAGAGTTACTTATGTGACTAACAATCAGATTAGGTGAATTCTATGAAGACCCAAATGCTACCTTTGTCTTCTTTGTAATTACTAAAGGCATCTGACACAGAACACTAAAAAAAACTATTCATTGGCTTGGTTAAGGGCAACTCCAAAGCTTATCGAATAAATTTAGCCAAAGTTAGAAAGAAAGAACTTTTGTTTTCCTGTTTAATTTTTTTTAATCTAAGAGAAGTTAGAGGGAGGTCAGATGTAGGATTCTAAACAAAGGAAAGACAGGAAAGAAAAAGAGAGTGTGGGAGGTGGAAGCACTAAATGCCTTCTGGATTTCCCACCGATTAAGTTAAACTTCTTTAGGTATAAATAGAAAGAGATATGGTCTTTTATTTATTTATTTATTGATATTATACCCAGAGCTCAGCATTTGGGTGACTTTATGTGGATCAATTTTAGTGAACTTAGTTACTTTATTTTTCTACTGTTTCTATTCTATTTGCTTTATTCGTATTCTTTTTACATTTAATATTCTATCAGTTTTATTAACTATTGGATTTTAGTTTATAAAGATATTGTTTTTAGCAAAATATTCTCCTGCTAAAGAATGTCTTGCCTGAAAAACCAGGAGGCGTGCTGTGTAGAAAGTAGTACAGGTAAAAAAACCTGGTTGAAGTTTGGTACTCTCCGGCGTGTCTTAGTTTTCCTTCACTCTAATGGACCGGCAATTTCTTCCTCTCCTGTGATGTATTGTGATCAAAGTCTCGGACTCCAGGCAAATTAGCATTTACTAGTTTATTTTTTGTGCCTAAAACAGTACCCTCGTGGATTAAGGAGCTGAGTGTAACGCTAATATTCAAATCAACTCTTCCCAAAAACACATACACATTTAAATGAGATAACCTTTTTGTGTGTTATTATTATTATTATGCTGTAAGTTCCTGGTACATGTGGTGCGTGTGGGCAGTTGGGGGCAGTTGGACAGTGGTTTGTCACATTGCGAGTCCATCTTATTCCTTCCTCCCTTTGTGAGTGATTGTGTGATGTTCCATTTCCCAGAGTCCAAGTGATCTCATTTGTTGTTCCACCTATGAGTGAGAACATGCGGTGTTTAAGTTTCTGTTCTTGTGATAGTTGCTAAGAATGATGGTTTCCAGCTGCATCCATGTCCTAGGGACACAAACTCATCCTTTTATGGCTGCATAGTATTCCATGGTGTATATGTGCCACATTTTCTTAATCCAGTCTGTCACTGATGGACATTTGGGTTGATTCCAAGTCTTTGCTATTGTGAATAATTTGCAATAAACATACGTGTGCATGTGTCTTTATAGCAGCATGATTTATAATCCTTTGGGGTATATACCCAGTAATAGGATGGCTGGGTCATATGGTACATCTAGTTCTAGATCAGCAGGAATCGCCATACTGTTTCCATAATGGTTGAACTAGTTTACAGTCCCAACAACAGTGTAAAAGTGTTCCTATTTCTCCACATCCTCTCCAGCACCTGTTGTTTCCTGACTTTTTAATGATCGCCATTCTAACTGGTGTGAGATGCATTACCCTCATTGTGGTTTTGATTTGCATTTCTCTGATGGCCAGTGATGATGAGCATTTTTTCATGTGTCTGTTGGCTGTATGAATGTCTTCTTTTGAGCAATGTCTGTTTCTTATCCTTTGCCACTTTTTGATGGGAGTTGTTTGTTTTTTCTTGTAAATTTGTTTGAGTTCTTTGCTTAGGTTCTGGATATTAGCCCTTTGTCAGATGAGTAGATTGCAAAAATTTTCTCCCATTCTGTGGAGTTGCCTGTTCCTCTGATGGTAGTTTCTTTTGCTGTGCAAGCTCTTTAGTTTAATTAGATCCCATTTGTCAATTTTGGCTTTTGCTGCCGTTGCTTTTGGTGTTTTAGACATGAAGTCTTTGCCCATGCCTATGTCCTGAATGAGTACTACCTAGGTTTCCTCTAGGGTTTTATGGTATTGGGTCTAATATTAGTCTCAATCCATCTTGAATTAATTTTCGTATAAGGAGTGAAAGGATCCAGTTTCAGCTTTCTACTTATGGCTATTAATTTTCCCAGCACCATTTATTAAATAGGTCCTTTCCCCATTTCTTGTTCTCTCAGGTTTGTCAAGATCAGATGGCTGTAGATGTGTGTGTATTTCTGAGGACTCTGTTCTGTTCCATTGGTCTGTATCTGTTTTGGTACCAGTACCATGCTGTTTTAGTTACTGTAGCCTTGTAGTATAGTTTGAAGTCAGGTAGCGTGATGCCTCAGCTTTGTTTGTTCTTTTGACTTAGGATTGTCTTGGAGATGCGGGCTCTTTTTTTATCCACCATGATCAAGTGGGCTTCATCCCTGGGATGCAAGGCTGGTTCAACATTTGCAAATCAGTAAGCATAATCCAGCATATAAACAGAACCAAAGACAAGAACCACATGATTATCTCAATAGATGCAGAAAAGGCTTTTGACAAAATTCAACAGCCCTTCATGCTAAAAATGCTCCATAAATTCGGTATTGATGGAATGTACCTCAAAATAATAAGAGCTATTTATGACAAACCTACAGCCAATATCATACTGAATGGGCAAAAACTGGAAAAATTCCCTTTGAAAACTGGCACAAGACAGGGATGCCCTCTCTCACCACTCCTATTCAACATAGTGTTGGAAGTTCTGGCTAGGGTAATCAGGCAAGAGAAAGAAATCAAGGGTATTCAGTTAGGAAAAGAAGAAGTCAAATTGTCCCTCTTTGCAGATGACATGATTGTATATTTAGAAAATCCCATCGTCTCAGCCCAAAATCTCCTTAAGCTGATAAGCAACTTCAGCAAAGTCTTAGGATACAAAATTAATGTGCAAAAATCACAAGCATTCTTATACACCAGTAACAGACAAACAGAGAGCCAAATCAGGAATGAACTTCCGCCAAATCAGGAATGAACTTCCATTCACAATTGCTTCAAAGAGAATAAAATACCTAGGAATCCAACTTACAAGGGATGTAAAGGACCTCTTCAAGGAGAACTACAAACCACTGCTCAGTGAAATAAGAGGACACAAACAAATGGAAGAACATACCATGCTCATGGATAGGAAGAATCAATATCATGAAAATGGCCATACTGCCCAAGGTTATTTATAGATTCAAAGCCATCCCCATCAAGCTACCAATGAGTTTCTTCACAGAATTGGAAAAAACTGCTTTAAATGGATAATCTTAAACCTACCTATAGTGGTATTTTTATACAGCAATTATGGTATACCCTTCTCTGACCAGAAGTAGGAAACAGCTTTTTTTTTCTTTTCTTTTCTTTAATTTTCTTTTCTTCTTTTCTTTTCAATTGTGTTTCTAGAGAGATGAATTCCACAATAATATTTAGGATTTCCAGAAATATAAAGCAGAGTTTGATTAGTTAGTAAAGAATTTGAGTTAATATAATCCACTCTGTAAATTATGAAGTGTTATGAGTCATTTTCTTCCTATCGAGAAAATCAGGTTATTTTCTTTCTCATATATTATTTCTACATATCCTAGGGGTTAAAATAAAAAGAAAGGACAGGATATATACTTTGTGAGGGACTAGAATCCTTAAAATAAAATCTTACCATGGAAGAAATAAATATTTTCAGTAAGAAAATAATACCAATGGACATCACTAATGCAAAATTAAATATAACTTATTTAATTTCAAAGTTAAAAATTTTTCAAGGTATATTTTATGGTCTCTGATATACACAAATTTCTATTTTATTGTTTTATTTTGATTGCAATGTTACTACAATATTATATCATGTGTTACAATAATGATTTGGATCTATTTGTTCAAACTATTTCTCTTGTGTTTAACGATCTCTTTCTTTCTATCTCTCTTTGTCTCTTCTAAGCCTCAACAAACTGCTTCTGGAAACAATGAGAGCTCTCAAGTTGGGTCAACAAAGGAAGGAAATCCGAGTACCATTGCCTGTGACTCTCAGGATGTAAGAAAAACTTAAGATGGTTTTTACAGTATTAGACATGAGAACAAAGCATAAGCAGTTTAACAATTCTAATCTATGCCACCATGAAACTTACTACTTATATGTAATATCTACTATCTAAGGATTGTACTTTTAAATATAAGAAAGTAAATGTTCTTTTGGTCTGAATCAGGTAGGTGTTCCAGTAAGCACTGCAACCAGATTCTCAGGACAACTAAGAATATGAGTTGTTAGAGAGGTAAGACGATGACCACAGGGTAAACAAGGTGGTCATTCCCACAGCTACATAATAGAAAGCTGTTAAAATGTAAAAAACAAAAACCAACAAAAAAAACTTATAGGATATATTTCTCCATGTAAAGCAAATACACTCAGCATACAGAGACATCATGGTAGAGGAAGGGAGATTCATTTCCTTCAAATGATAGGAAATATGGAATTTGTTCAATGAGTCTTTTCACTCATTAAAAGTGCAATGGAATTCTATTTGTTTTGAACTTTGGCAAAATTAAGCTAATGGATCTATTACATTTAGATTTGAGAACCAGCAAATGACAGCAATTGTGTTGAACAGATTCAAAATTAGGCTTCAATCCAACTTGAAAAGTATCTGATGAAACATTTATGCTTGAAAGAAATCAGGCTGCAGCTAAAAATATATAATAATGATAAGGAGGAACAGAAAAGTAAGTTAAACAAGTGATCTCTTTTTTCTCTTCTGGCTGCCAAAGTGGATTAAGAAAAATGAATTACTCAACAGTTTTGCCTTCAATTCTTTGTTTATTTAAACATGTATCCAAACTGTACAATTTAGAAAATAAAGTTAATAAGAAGTATAAACAAAATGCTTGAATTTTACTTCCAAAGGAGAAGAGAGTCAAAAAGGCTTTGGGCAGGAAGGAAGATTTTTACTGTAGTTTGAAGCATGGATAAGTATTTGACAGTGAGCAAATTTGCAGAGGTAGGAAAATATCACAGCGGTATGGCTAAAAATACATAGTACCCAAAATGGCGGGATATGTGCCTACAACAATCACTGAAGACTAGAGAGTGAGGGGCCTTGGGTTCCCAAGCTGAGTTTGATTTGGACTAGGGAGCTAGTTCAGGTTTTCAGATGCTTGTATTCAATCGAGTGATAAGACCATGATGTTAATTTTAAGGATGGTATTTTTATTTCTTGATATATTTTGTTGAAACTCTATAAAAACATGTTCTCACTGGAGGCAAAATGGAAAATTTATGTGTGGTTTGCTAGGATTCCCCAAAGTAACATTCTAGTCTACTTTTCTTATCGAAGCCTGCTTCAAATCATAAATTGTTTTATTCATACATTATTTGTTTCTCTCTTCTACTTTTGTTGTTCTCCTTTGTTAGTGATAATTCTTCTGTCCTCGGTAAGTTCCAGAAGCAGATACTATCTTGTTCTGGTCTCAGTCTGGATCTGGGGCTCTTCAAAAAGCTGCCTCCACCAGCACAAACATAAATGTTCTTTCACTAACCTGACTTCTGTCCTCTAGACTTGTGTTATTGGAGTCTCTACTCCTAAGAAGCTACACCTTTTAGTACATAGAGTGTTCAGTATTCAGAGCCTGCAGATTCAATTATAGATAATAATGAAGAAAGTAATACAATGAGTGACATAAACCAGGTGTGAGTAATAGGAATTAGTGGGACATGCATGAGCATCAGTTTTCAAGTTCTAGGACCAGTACTTCTTAGCTCTGTCTCCAGAATAGTATCAAGCGAAGAGTACTTACAAAATACTAATGCCCACAACCCATTGCAGAAAAATTACCTCAGCACCTCAGTGGGCAAGGTCTAGACATTAGTTGTGTCATTCCTCCAGATGATTCAAATATATAGGTCATTTTTCACTAATAATAGATTTCCCCATTCATAAGAACCATCTGGGGAGCTTTTAGAAAGTCAGATTCTGAGCAATTAATCTGGACATTTTTAATAAATAAAACTAGGGAGACTTTATTTTTTGCCTTGTCTAAATTTAGCCATAATATTCTGATTTGCATTAAATATCGTGAAATGTATTGCTTCCATTTAATGTAGCAATATAAAAATACTGACTCTACCAACCTAGAGACTTAAGCTCCAGTTTGGGTTGCTTTATTGAATGCCCAAACTGAATAAGAAAGCAGAATTTAATTTAATTTTTCAAAATCACAAAATAAAATTATTTATCACATTTCTACCTTCATATTTTATCTTGGGGTGTGTTTTAGAATCTTAGCCTATGCCTTTATGTGATTTTCCTTTAATAAGATATTGAATGAATGCTATTTAGTTTTATACAAAGACAAAAAGTAGGATATAATGTAGTTTTACTTTGTTTTTAATGTCCTTACTTAATAAAATTGATAGTAGCTTTATTCCTATTTCTTGTTTTAATTCGATTTTCAGTTGTAATGAATTCAGAAATCCAAAAACCACTGAATTAGCAAATTTTAAAAATAATTAAAGTGAGATGAAATAGGAACCTGAATTTAGACAATCACGGGAACAACTGGGAACAAGCAATGAAAAGTCTATTGCAAAGAGAGAGCCATAGGATTCTGTGATCAAATGAAGATATAGGTAACATGAGCACCAAATATGTGTTTTATTGACTGAAATAATTGCATCATCATTATCAAGAAAGAAAACTAGAATAGGTGATATTTTTGGTTAACATTTTTCTATTTACTTCTGAACAGAAGAGATAGATACTCTGTTAATAATTAGAATGGGTAAAAGGCACAATGAAGATAACTGTTTTTGAAAAATATAATTTTAAAAATAGCTTTATTGAGATATAACTTACATACCATAAAAATTCACCCATATAAGTGCATGTTTCAATCATTCATCATAGTTGCTGAGTCCAGGACTGTAATCCAGTTTCAGAACATTTTCATCTCCCTAATATGATCCCACATGCCTTTTTTTTTTTTTTTTTTTTTTTACAATGAGTCCCTGTCCCTACTAAGCCTCAGGCAACCACAAACACAGTTTCTTTTTGTATTTGTTTGTACCTTTTTATTGCTGGAAAACATTTTATTGTATGGTGTACCGCAGTTCTTTATCCATTCACCAGTTGATGTATTTTGGCTTATTTTAAATTTGTAGCTATTATGAAAAAATGATGCTATGAACATTTGCATAAATCACTTTGTATATGTTTTAATCTCTGTTGAGTAGACACCTAGATGTAGAATTGCTGGATTTGATTATAAGTTTATGCTTATACTGAAAAATGGGTACATTCTTTCCCCCTTTGAACAAACACAAGTGGTGCTTCTCTATTCTCCCATCTTCACTATTAAAACCTCATGGTTCTCCGAAAGGTAAAATTCTCCATAGTGAGGGCTCACCCTACCTTAAACTAAGCCTCTAGGAGTCTTTTTTTTTTTTTTTTTCCTTGTTGGGGGACGGCGTCTCGCTCTGTCGCCCAGGCTGGAGTGCAGTGGCCGGATCTCTGCTCACTGCAAGCTCCGCCTCCCGGGTTCACGCCATTCTCCTGCCTCAGCCTCCCGAGTAGGAGTCTTTATATTTCATGGTAGTCCATACTTGGCCTCCAGAAATGTATTAAATGTATTACAACAATGTTGCCATCAACTACTGGCCCCGGCAGCTTTCACTCAGGTAGCTTGTCTGTGTTCTCTGTATTCACTGCGTCCCCAGTTTTTGGGGTGGTAGTTTTTCTGCAACATTAACTCTTTGATACATCTAAGAAAAGTTATTAATTATCAGACCGTTCAACCTTTTGCTTGTTGTGAAGGTGCAAGTGGAGACTTCCAAGACCTTTATGTGTCAGAGCAGTACCTGAAGTCCTAATTCGTGTCTTCTGAAACACAGAAGCTTTTAATTTCAATAAAGTTCAATTCGTCATTTTATTCTTCATGCTTTTGATATCTCTAAAGAAATATTTACCTGTTTAAGCATACAGCATTTTTTTGTTGCTTTCTCATGGTTTCTTATATAATGTGTTTGCTTTTATTTCTTATATTTAGATCAATATTCTACTTCAATCTTTGTGTGTGTGTGTGTGTGTGTGTGTGTGTGTGTGTGTGTGGATGGTGTTAGGTAAGGTTTTGCATTTATTATTTGCATGTTGTTATTCAGTTGTCCCCGTCTTTATAACATATTTTTAAGGAATACATTTTTTTTAATTGAACTTCTCTAGCATCTTTGTCAAAAAAAACTGACCACAACTTTTCACCATATTGGCCAGGATGGTCTCGATCTCTTGACCTCGTGATCCACCCGCCTTGGCCTCCCAAAGTGCTGGGATTACAGGCATAAGCCACTGGGCCTGGCCTACTCTATAATCTTTTAAAATTTCTTTCAGCAATGTTTGATAGTTTTTCAGGGTGCAAGTCTTGCATTGCTTTTGTCTTTATTTTTCTGAAGTACTTTTTTCTTTTTCATACTATTGCAAATGTAGTATTTTAATTGCATTTCCAGATTGTTAACTGCTAGTGTATATAAATGCAAGTAATTTTTGTATATTGATCCATCAGAATGAGGAGTTTTAAGTGACTGTGAGCTCTGAGTAAAACTGTGATGAGATTTGCACATCACCTATAGGTAGTTGAAGTATTGATTTTAAGTAGCTATGATGCTACATCGAGAATAAAGGAGACAAATCTCTTATCAAATTTTGCTTATCAGTCTACACTGATAAATTCTGTTTCATTTTAGAAGTAACACTTTGAGGTTCAACAATGATGAATGGAAAGTGTTTTCTAACGCTTGAGGTAGAAGGCTGAAGAAAACCTAGATGTGGATACTGACTTTGCTGTTTCCTAACATTATTGCTCTGGGAAGGGACTTTGTATTCAGATCCCTTTATCAATATAAGGTAGATGAAGATTTTTCAAATTTTAGCATACTAAGAATCACCAAGTCAACTGGTAAAACTGCTTATGCTAAAGATCCATTCCCATGTATTATTAATCCATTGGTCAGGGAAAGAGCCCAGGAATGTGTATTATTGTAATAATCCC